TAGCGATATTTCTCAGATGAAAGAAGGCAGTTTTTGTGACATGGGATATATGGTTTTTAAAAGTTAGATTGCTGTCTAATATGACACCCAGATCTTTTATAGTAGAGCTAAAGCTAACTTTGTATCCCTCTAATTGTTAATTGAGTTGCGAGATCTGCTGTGTGCAAGATTTAGGCCCAATAAGTAATAATTCTGTTTTGTCGGAGTTTAAGAGAAGAAAATTGTTGGTCATCCAGTCTTTGATGTCTTTGATACACTCAGTTAGTTTAGAAAGTTCAGACGTCTCGTCAGGTTTAGTTGAAATATATAAGTGAGTATCATCTGCATAGCAGTGAAAGCTGATCCCATGTCTTCTAATAATGTCTCCCAGAGGTAGCATGTAAATTGTAAACAGTAAAGGGCCTAAAACTGATCCTTGAGGCACCCCATACTTTACTGGGCTGACTTGTGAAGGCTGTCCATTAATATTCACAAACTGGTAGCGGTCAGTTAAATGTGACTTAAACCATTGTAGAGCCTGTCCCTGGACACCTGTAGACTTTAAGCGATTTATGAGGATATTGTGGTCAATGGTATCAAATGCCGCACTAAGATCGAGTAAAACTAATAGCGAGACGCACCCTCGGTCAGCAGCTAAGAGTAAATCATTGGTAATTTTCACTAAGGCGGTTTCTGTACTGTGGTGAGCCCTGAAACCTGACTGAAACACTTCAAAAATATTGTTCGTCTGCAGAAAGGAGCATAATTGAGTGGAAACAACTTTTTCTAGTATTTTAGACATAAATGGAAGATTTGAGATAGGTCTATAAGCTAAGTTGTTGGTGTCTAGTTGCGGTTTCTTAATAATAGGTTTAATAACAGCTAGCTTGTAAGAGTTTGGAACATGGCCTATAGATAAAGAAGAGTTGATAATGTTAAGAAGGGGTTCTCCTATAGCAGGTAGCAGCTCTTTCAGTAATTTTGTTGGAGTTGAGTCCAGCATACACGTAGCTGGTTTAGAGCTATTTATAATTTTTACTAACTCTTCGTGTTCTATGATTTTGAAGCAGTGTAGGTTATTATTATGATTCAATGAAATATTTACAGGATTGGGAGTATAAGCCGGTGCAGAAAGTTTGGCATCTCCTATTTTCTGTCTAAAGCCTTCTATTTTATTTCTGAAAAAAATTCATGAAGTCATCACTACTAATTTGCGGTGGAGTAGTTTGTTCCAAGGATGAACGATTATTTGCTAATTTAGAGATGGTGTTAAATAAAAATCTAGGATTGTTATGATTATTTTCTATCAGTTTGCGCAGGTGCTCAGTCCTGGCAGATTTTAGAGCCCTCCTATAGCTGGACATACTGTCTTTGTACGCAATTCGAAAGACCTCTAAATTAGTTTTTTTCCATTTACGTTCCAGGGCGCGGGTTGCTGTTTTGAGCGCACGAGTATGACTATTATACCATGGTATAGTTTTATTCTCTCTAGCCTTTTTTAATTTGATGGGTGCCACAGTATTTAGTGTGCTAGTAAAGATGGCATCCATACTGCTGGTTACTACATCAAGATCATTTGAGTTTGCGGGTGCATTACGAAATAGAGAGAGATCAGGTAAGTTATTTATAAATTCATCTTTAGTTGACGGAACAATAGTTCTACTAGGGCGGAGTATTGGAGCGGGTTTGCTGATTTCAGGTAAACACAGCTTATATAGTAAGAGGTAGTGATCTGTAATATCATCACTTTGTGGTATAATGTCTACGTCAATAACCTCGATTCCATAAGACAGAATTAGATCTAATGTATGCTTTAAGCGATGGGTTGGACCCACAACGTTTTGCTTTATCCCAAGTGAGTGTATTAAATCCATAAACGCGAGCCCTAATGTATCATTAGCGTCATCTATGTGGATGTTAAAGTCACCTACAATTAGCATTTTATCAGTTTTGACTAGTAAGTCAGAAATAAAATCAGATAATTCTTTTAGAAATTTGACATATGGTCCTGGGGGTCTATATATGGTGATTAAAGCGAGAGATAAAATAGGGTTTTGCATAGTATCTGGAAGCTGAACATTAAGCGATAATGTTTCAAAGGAGCTAAACATAAGTCCGTTTCTCTGTTTAATATTAAGGAAATCACTAAAGATTGATGCAACTCCACCACCACGACCAGTTTGACGAGCCTCATGTTTATATAAGAATCCTGGAAGAGTTGCTTCATTAAAGCTAATATAGTCATTTTGTTTCAGCCAGGTTTCAGTGAGACAGAGTGCATTAAGATTGTTTTCTGTTATTATTTCATTAATGATAAGTGCTTTAGGTGCAAGTGACCTGATGTTTAGGAGACCAAGTTTTACGAAATTTGTATTTTCACTTTCAACTGGTTTTTCTGGTTTGATTCTTACTAGATTTTTTCTGGAGCACGTAGTACGTTTATTTCTTAATCTAATAATACGAGGAACAGACACAGTCTCCATAGGTTTTGCCAGATATGCGTTACTGATGTTTAAGTGGGGTGAACAAGAGTCTAGGTGGCTATAATGTGAATTTTGTGAATTTTTACCTGCTAGTCAGATGGTGCGAAGTAATCTGGAGATGTTGTCCGACAGGAGTTCAGCTCCGGCTCGACTGGGGTGCAGGCCGTCAGGACGGAAGAGCCTAGGACGCTCCCAGAAAAGATTCCAGTTATTAGCAAAGAGCAATTTCTGTTCTTTACACCATGTTATTACACCATGGAATTCACAAGCTCCCTGCGTGCTTAATACCTAGCTATTTTATTCACAGAATTGTCATTGTTGAATGATGGCTGTGGTGTCATTTTGTATGGTGAAGAAGTAAGTCACAGCATTTGGAGTTTATAGTAATGGGTTTGCACTGGTCCTTGAGTCTGTTGCATCATATTCTCAGAAGGTTTATGTTGCGGATCTCTGATGACATTACTCATGAATGGTTGTCTCCTTGGCGGTGATTCTAAATGCAACACATAAACAAAAAGCCTCAGAGGCATTTCAAGTGGTTTGTCTCCATCCAGAAGATTAAGGACAGAAAAATAAGTTGTTACCTCTACATTTATACTATGGACCGATTTCATATTATCAGTGTCCTTTAATGACTGATGGAACTTTAAAACAGGCTGCAATTAAGGCAACCAATGGCATTTGGAAACCCCGGAAAAAAAAAGATATTTAAAAATGTATCAAGTCTGTGTGTACAGTGTGAATAGATGACTACTTCTTATAATATGGATATTTTTTCCTACAAAAGACAAAGCTGCTACTTCTTAGTATATCAGCTACAGAAAATGTGAGGGGTCCAGAGAGGGAGAGAGACAGAGAAAGAAAGCGAAACAAAAAAAACAAGATCTCTATGTGAGATTTGAACTCGCTTCACTGTTAGCATTGTTGTTTCTTAATGGGGGACTGTCCGCTACGCTATTGCCGCACTCTGAATCATCTGTGGAATGATACGCTGTGATTTATGGCCAAGGTACTGTACAAAAGTGTATAAAACAGTTCATTGCCAGGCAGGCATACAGATGGCCCTACATGCTATTGCCACATTGTACAGTAGCCTAAAATGCCCTAACGCAAAAACAAAAGCTGCACTGAATGTTTTCTATGGTAAGAGCACATCCACTGTTTGTCACGTTTGATTTCAAAAGGTTTGTTAAATACAATAATGATTCTTTTGAAAAATATCAACGCTCATTTAAATATTCAGTTGGTTATGAAAAGTACTATGCAGTTATAATCCTCTCATAATGAAAAAACTTGTATATCTGTGCTTCTATCAAATATTCCATCAAAATTCTCATCAAAAGAGTTCCCAATGCTCAGTAAACTCTCTGAAACAGACAAACTCTGGAACACAATCTGCTCTGGAGCAGGTTATCTTCAGAGAGAAAGTTGCTAAGGTTATTTAACATACCCCAAAAGTGGAACCAAAAGCGGATATTATCCAACCAACTTACTGTTAAACTTAATGTCACATAGCCTGCTTTCTGGAATACCCCCCTGTTTCTTACTTAAGGCTGAGAAGTGTTTTCTGAGCCATCTTATCAAACTGGTTAAAACTGTTATTATCAGCATCCGAACTGGCAGCTTACACACAATGGAATTTACTTTAAAATATTTGACATATAAAATGACCAATAACTTAGGGTTGTTTCCAATCCTTCAAAAGTCCAGGTCCACTCAAGAGGTCTCCATGACCTCTGACCTAGCTTGGTAGATCCAGAGAAAACAAATAATTTGAAAAAAAAAGAAAAAAACAATGACACATATTATTCTAGATTTACTCTGAAGATGGATGACACCAAGGTCAAATAATCTATGCCCTTAAACATTCAACTTGATTAATAATCATAAAGACATGAGAAACTATATGTATTATGTGAGATTTCAAGACCAAAACAAAGACAGATGTTCCTACATAAAACGCACATTTCCAAAGGAAAATAACTGACAATAGCGTTGTTTTTCAGGTAAACAAGTCTGTTCACTTGGCGTTGTTTTCAAATATCTGCAAACATATTATGGTGTTTCTAAGATATAGATACATTGTACATACAGCAACTTTTATGAAGATTTAACAAACAAAAGAGCTTAAAATAATGAAAAACTATTTGCTAATGTTTAATGATTGATAATGTGCAGTTATTATAGTGGTACCATTAAACAAAACAAGCATAATTTGTCCATTTCAGATGTTAAAGATAAATTTGAAGATCAGCTCATGTCACATAGACACTGTATAGCTGGCTGAGATGTAACAGGATCACATTCTGAAGGAAAGATCTAAGTATGCAATCTGAATAAATATTCTGTGTCCACAGGGGTGAAGGCAGAGATCTTCTCTTCTGAAATCAAATCTCAAAATTCAGATCCCCCAATGGATCTGGGCTTGGCTGAAGATCACTTTTCTCGACCTGTGGTAAGTGTTCTCTTTAGTCACTCTGTAGTAATACTATTTTTTAATGATTAAATAATAATAATATAAAAAAATATATATAGTAAGAAAATATATATGTAAATTAAAATCACATCTACATTTTTCAATTTGCCAAAAATTGAATTCGACAAAATAATTTTTTTACATTAGTAGAAACAGCCTGTTAATACTGTCTTGAGCCCATTGTAAAGCCACCAAGTCTGCCCGATTATGTTATTGACCTAATTGAATGTTTTAAATTCTTGTAACATGCGTTTTTGGTTTCACCTAATAAAAAAAAAAGTTAATTGAGAAATTTTTATTGCTAAAGCAATTTTACTGAATTTGTTCCCTATTGTCGAAAAGAAAAGAAACTGAAAAATAAAAATACAAAATAATGAGACACTACACATTGCCACATTTGTTTATTTTTATTAAACAGACACTATTGTGAAAGTACATTAAAAAATACATTGAACATTTATATAAAATCTACATTTATAAAGTCATGCAATTTAACTCTCATAATACTCACAAAGCTAAAGTATTATTAATACATTAACAGATATGTGCAAAAATGTCAAAAACATCAGAAATGGTAAATATTTTAGTGAGGTTACTTTGTGAGGTTGTTTAGTGCAGCCACCTAAATATTACAGTTCCTCAAAAGGTAATATAATGTTATGAAAGCAAATTTGTAATGGTTAAACCAGTTCAATAAATTCATCTAATATGTTCACATAAGACTAAGCCGAAAAGAAAATGAATTAATGAATTCTTACATACTAAAAGCAGACTTTAAAAAACACCATCAAATATAAACAGTGGATTACTTAACCCTGGTTGGCAGGTGATTCCAGAACAGAAAAAAAAAAAAAAAAAAACTTCCGAAAGTCTCAAGAAAAAAAATAATAATCAGAGAGCAACTTCAATCATGTTAAGCTGAATCTACAAATATTTACCATGCAGACATATTTAGAAAGTCATTGTATTCCAAGTTGAGTAAATACAATAATTCAAAAGCACAAAAAATGCATTGATAATGTTTCTTAAATTGACCACCACCTCTTCTTCTGGGACATTTAGCACAGTTGACAGGGATTTTAAAGTTAATTTTGCTGCTGCTGCTACTTACTGGTTTAAGAATTCCCATCTTCTTTGTAGTTGTGTGGGTTTCCAGTGGCCCTGTATGTAAAAAAAAATATAAAATAGCTGTCAATTCTAAGTCTACATATATCAAATACATATGCAAATGTCTCCATACCATTAATATAATTTTGCAAAAAATACCACTACTGTTAGGTTACAAAACATAATTTTAGGATTCAGAATGTGGATGTCTACATAATTATTAGCATAGTAACAGTACATTAACTTTCCATACTGTGAGAATGCTATTTGGTAAATTGCGTATTCACATGTAAAATTTAAGTCATTGTCCCCAGGCACCTGTTTGTTTACAGCAATTTTTCAGAATAGTTGTCTTTTACATGATTTTTAAATTTATAGTAAATGTGAAATATGATAGGCTGAAATTACAGGAGATTTTAAGGAGAAATAGCAAAACAGGAGGGCGGTGGGAGATGGGTCTGAAATACAGGAGACTCCTGGAAAAACAGGCGTGTTGGTAGGTATGGTATAAGGCTATAGTAAAACTGGTAACTACTGGTAACATAGAACAATGTGTCCTTGAGAAACATGGGTTAAAAGTCTGCATAACACCAATCACAGCACATGGCAGCCCTTAATAAACAGCTACACACGTTACATTTTAGCAGAATTTGAAACTGACATGCAATAAATATATACGCAATTGTTAGAAGAGTACTTACTGTGAAAGTCATCGTGGTTTATTTGCGCCTCGCCCAGCAATGGTGGCTTCATGTTACGGTTATACTTAAAGAAAATAAAGAAACATGTTAGAGCACATACATGTCTTTTTCATCATAAAATAAGTTTAATAACAATATATAAAGTACACAGAGAGATCAGTATGGTCAGAAACCATAGGTTAAACTTTAAAAGTAAAGTGGTTAATACAGTTTTACTGCCACAGAGTAACGTTAATGTTCAACATTATGTTGGAGGCTAACTTAATCAATTTAAATCAGGTTAACTTTATGTGTCGAAATTAATGTGGCTTGCACTTTGTTAAACTTAAACATGATTTAAAAAATACAGAATTCAGTACTCACTGTAACTTTGTTGAAGAAAAAAGCCGTATAAATATAATTTTTTGTTGATTTTCTGCCATCGCTCCACTGGAATTAAAATCTGCTTCTTCCAATCCAGGGCTGGACTGGGGAAAAAAAAATCAGCCCTGGCATTTTGGGCCAGAGAGGCCCACTACATTTAATCAAAATGCTATCTATCTGTGCATGTGCAATATGTTTATCAACTCTTATTTTATAAAAAACACAAAAGCCATATATATGAAATAAATAAATAGAGACATTAATTTCAATCAAATTTTTGTATACTGTCCATAAAGATTTTTGTTCAGTTCTAAAAAATACACTATTCATTTAATTATTTTCCTTCGCCTTAGTCCTTTATTTATCAGGGATTGCCACAGTGGAATGAACTGCCAGCTATTCCAGCATGTTTTATGCAGCAGATGCCCTTCCAGCCACAACCCAGTATAGGAAATCACCCACACACACTCATTCAAACACTCATACACTACAGCCAATTTAGCTTATTCAATACACTATTCACTCAGCCTATATTAAACAATAAACATAACAAAAACTGCCTGCTGACGCATGAGTAAATCATTAAAGGGAAAAGTGTACTTTATAGTTTCATTTATCTCATCCTGCTTGCTGTTTCACATCTTAACAATGAAAACATAATATAAGGAAATTTGTTTTATTTTGATATTATGATTAACAGACATCAAACAGCCTTGTGTAGCTAAATATTTATATGACCATCATATTCACTCTACATATTTATAACAGAACAGCGCTTAAATATAACTGCCTCCTTTCAGTTTCATTGAAAAGAACAAACTTTACCCTGTCTCTTTTGCAGAATATCAGTTTTAATAATCAATAATGGCCATTATAAAAGTATAACGCACAATACATTTATACGATTAAGACAAGAAATCAATCAATGTGCAGAATCAGTGTACGTGGTAACATAAATTAATATATTAACTGATCTCTGCTCTCAGCCAAAACAGAGATACCTGAGAACAAGTGATTCAAAAGAAAGAAGAGTTGTTAGATAGCAGCAAGATAAATTCAATATAATGTTTAACAACTGTAGTGAGATGAGATCCAGCAGTAGATCTTTGATGAACTGTCCGACGTGCACTATACTCTCACCTGGGGTTTATCTCAAAGCACCAGCTGAACAACTGGCTTCAGCTCTTGGCAGAGTGTGTGTTTCACGTGATTTGCGTTTTTAGCCGTGTACTAGAAAGAACAGAGAACTTTTTAGAACCGCTAAATGAAACGCCAATGTCGTTCCCGCTATTTCTCTGCACCTCCCTTCCGTTTCTTCTCCATCTCTCTGACTCTTGACTATTTTGACAAATACATGCCAACTTTGCAGGCTCACACAGAGCCCAAAGTCCTAGGAGTTTGTGATTGGGCCAGCCCAATGTCAATAAAGAAAAGAACAAATGGGCTGCAGAGTGTAATATGGGCCGGCCTGGTCTGTCTGTCCGAAAAAAAAAAAAAGCATCTTTTTTTTTCACGCACGCACACACACACACACACACACACACACACACACACACACACACACACACACACACACACACACACACACACACACACACATATATATATATATATATATATATATATATATATATATATATATATATATATATATATATATATATATACACATATACACACATCAAATACTCTTTGTTCATTTTGGATCTGCACCCAGATACTACTATTCTCCACAATGGTGACAAAAAAAAAAATCTTTTACTGCATTATGCATTTTATATTTTTTTTTCTTCTTGATTTTACAGAAAAATACCAGCAGCTGTGTTTGCCAGTAATCTGCTGTTTTTAACTTTTAACATTCATGAATGTAGTTTACAGAATATTTCTGTTAAAAATACATTCCACAGTCTGTATTTTTCATCAAACACATTTAAACCTTCAAATCCCCGAGCAAAATCCTCACTATTGTCCTCACTACAGAGGGTCGAATACTCAGGCAGTGATGAAGTTAATGATATAATTAAGTGTATAATTGAAGGCGGATAGAGAATTATTGATAACCAACTGTTAAAAGAAGAATCACTGAAGGAAAGAAAAACACAAATTAAAGCCAAAACCAAAGATGAAAATCAACTGAAAATAAAACTCTAAATAAATGAATAATTAATAAAAATAAAACAAATTACTCAATAAAAATGTAATTTCTCAAGATTTCAGCAGATATCATTAAACAGCTCCACAAACATCAGAAGCTTCACTTATTACTGACCTTCGACTTTATTTCTGTCATGAAAAAAATGTTCATTTGAAGTCACCATGATGGAGGACAGAGTCTGCTTTAGTTGGGCTCTTCAACTATTTGGTCTGACACTAGTTCTTATTTTGGCTGCTATAATTAATTGTGTTAATCACACAATTTGGTTAGCATGAAAAGCCAAAAGAAAAAAACAACAACAAGTCTAATAAGATTAACTATGATATCGAAACCACCCTCACCTGCTTGTGCGTTCATTGAATATCTTGTTAGTTATAAGTGAGTACCATATGTAAATGAAAAAACTTGTCCTACAGCAGCCAATGACTGTTTAACAGGTCTGAATACACCATTCACAATGAGAATGTTTGATCTATGGCAGAACTTACAGACATCAACAATTAGTCTTTGAATCTCAACAATGGTGACAAACAAAAATTAAAAATCGGTCCCACTTTATAGTCGCTTATACCTGTGAACTTACATGGTAACTAGATGCGAAGTAGTATGTAACTAAAGTGTATGTACACACTGGCACATAATATTTACTTGTG